AATACCATGGCCACTGCTCCACATCACCGAATACAACTCTAACTCCTGCAGCGGTTTAGACCAACAGCTCTCACAGTCCGCTGTTCATTAGAGCCATCCAGGGAGCTTCCAAAAAGCCCAAGGACCAGGACATACCCAATACCATTCCATCAAGTCCCTGGAGCTGGGGCCCAAGCATCTCTATTTAAAAAAAAAAAAAAAAAAAAAAAAAAACCTCGCAGGTGATTCAGTGTACAGCCAAGTGTGAGAAGCAGTGGGTTAGAGCAGTACTTCTTAGACATTAAAGCGCAGAGGAATCTGCTGGGGTTCTCGCTAAAATGCAGATTTGAATTGAATGGGTGGGGCGGGGTGGGGCCTGGGGCTCTGCATTTCTGATAAGCATCCTGGCAGTGCTGATGCTGCTGGTCCGTGGGCCACACGGGGGTAGCAAGGGCCGCAGCACTGAGTTCCGCCTTTGGGCTTCTGCGGAGAATCATCACCATGACGACTACCACACCCGCCTTCTCCTTTCCCTCTCTGCCTTCTTTCCCCTTTTTTATGATCCCTCTTTGTCCTTCACTGTGGCCCACACCCTCCTCAACGTACGACGCAGGCTCGGGATCCACGCATCCCATCTGCAATCCTGCTGACAGCTCTGTAAAGAAGGCTTCTGAGCCCAGAGAGAATTCAGGTTTGTCTGAGTCTGTCTGATGAAGCCTGGGAGTTTACGAGTCCCTGGGCATCTATTTGCACAGCTGATTTGCATGAAGGCTTTGAGTTTTTTGTGTTTATGCTTGGGCTGGAGGAAGGAACCTGTATGCTCGAGGGGCCTAGAGAGAATGGATGGAGGAAGATACAAAGGCGCTGTGGAGGATATTGTGGTGTCTGGTCCTTGATCTGCCCTGAGGCTCCCAGTCCGGCCTCTTGGAACCGTGGGCATTCTCGCTGAGTCGGAGCTGAACACGATTTAGCTTGTGCCTTGAAGCCCAAAGAGAACCTGCTGTTCACCTTGCTCCTGAAGGGTTTGAGTGTTTTTGATGTTTTTGTTTGTTTAGCTCAGGAAACCATGGAAAGTCAAGGGAGGCAGGCATCTTTTGCAGCCTCTGCCCAGCCTACACTCTACCACCTCCAGTGGCACCCCCCGCCCCACCTCCCCACCCCAGTGGCAGGCCTCTGGAGCCATGCTTGTATCGCAACTCTGCTTCTTTTTGGCTGCAGGTGATTGGGCAAGGCTGATCACCTATCCCAGGGGCAGCTAGATCATTGGCTCAGTGAGAAAAAAAGAAGTGAGAAACAGATGCTTGCGGCTACTCAGTCAGAGTGAAGCCTGTAGGCCATGTAGGGGCCAGGCAGTCATCTTTGACCTGTGGGCACAGAAGCATAGCAGATCTGCAGAAAGAGAAGGAAAGTCCACAGGGAGAGGCAGAGATGAGAGACGAGGCAGCCATGGAGAGGAGACCGCAGCTGCCTGGCTTCCTGAGCCCCATCCAGCTGTGCCCGAGGGCCCTGAGTGGCCTGCCTCACTTCCACTGTGGGTTCCATATTGCTCTTCTTGGCAGATGAACTCTAGGGACCTCTCTCAAGAGCCACACATCTTGGTGCTCAGGCTTTGGTATAATCCCCAGCCTCCTTGAGTGTGGGTGGGAACTGTGACTTGCTTGCAAACGAGGGAACTCGGCAGAAGTGATGGGCTGTCGCTTCCGCCATCACACTATGTTTTTAACTCCATCTTGCCAGTGGGGAACTCAAGAGTCTCTCCCCCTGACTGTCTTTGAAGAAGCAAGTGACCATATTGAGGGGCCCATGTGGCCAGGAGCTGAGGGCAGCCTCTGCCTGAGAGCCAGCAAGAAGTTAGGGCCCTAAGTCCTGCAGAGAAAGGAAGTAAATTCTGCTGACAACGTGAACAAGCTCATGAGCAGACTCCCCGAGTCAAGCACCCTCCAGGTGAGAAGGCAGCCTGGCTGGAACCTTGATGGCAGTCTTGCAAAACCCTAAGAGGAGGACCCAACTAAGCCATGCCTGGACTCCTAGCCCACAGAAACTGTGAGGTTACTAATGCGTGTCCTCTTAACCCTCTAAGCTTGTGGTATTTTCTTAGACAATGGAAAACTCATCTGCTGCTGGGTCTTATCCGTTGCTTTTACACAGGTAAGTTTCTGTGGTTTGCAACCTAAAGACTCTTGGCTGAGACAGGAACACCAAGCCTGGGCTGGTATTCTCCCAGAGGAGCAAGCCCGGCCAGAGGAGCAGTGATGGGGGCTTGAGCCACCACAAGGCCTGACTGAGAGCAGCAGCGCCTAGAGGGCTCCAACTCCCTGGAAGTATCAGGAACTCCCTGGAGACCCCCAGAAATACTTGGGGTAAGGAAGGAGGAAGGCCGGTGTGGACAGGTGGGGCCTATGAGGCCAACAGAATTTGGGTATGTGGTTTCGTTTCTACATGTCCTGCTTGGACTTCGCTGTAAATCTGTGTCTTATCAAATGTAGGACATTTGAGGCCATTATGTCTTCAAATATCTTTTCTGCCCTGTTCACTCTCTCCTTCTTAGACTCCAGTTGGATACATGTTAGACCTTTCTATCGTCTTGCTTGTCTCTGAGGCTCTGTTCTCCTTTCCCTTGAATAGTTTTTCTCTCTCTTCTTCAGATGAGATGATTTCCATTGATCTATCTTGAAGTTTCCTGACTCCTTTGTTATCTCAATTCTCCCGTTAAGCTCATCCAGTGAATTTTTGTTTCAGATATTTTATTTTTCAGCTCTATATTTTCTATTTGATTCTTTCTTATAGTTTCTGCTTCTCTGCTGAGATTTCCTATCTTTTCATTTGTTATGAGCAGTTTTTACATCCTTGGGCATGATTATTGTGATGATTATTGGTATGTGTCAAGCAGACTGGGCTAAGGATGCCCAGATAGCTGGCAACATATTCTTTATGGGTGTCTCTGTGAGGGTATTTCTGGGAGAGATTAGCATTTGAATCAGTAGACTGGGTAAAGAAGATCTGCCCTCACCAACTGGATGTTGTTCAATCCATGGAGGGCCCAATAGAACAAAAAGGTAGAGGAAGGATGAATTTGTGCTCTCTGAGCTGAGACATCCACCTTCTCCCATCCACAGACTTTGATGCTCCTGGTTCTTGGACCCTCAGAATGAATTATGCCACCACCTTTCCTAGTTTTCCAGCTTCAGACAGTAGATCATGGGACTTCTCAGCCTCCATAATCACACGAGCCAGTTCCTAGAATAAATCTCTCTCTTTCTACATATACATGTAGAGATATGCGTGTGTGTGTGTGTGTGTATACACACACATATAGACACACATACACACACTCATATATATATACACACATATAAACAGCCTATTGGTTCTGTTTCTCTGCAGAATCCTGACTAATCCAGTTATAGTAGCTGTTTTTAAATCCTTATTAGCTTACCCTCTGGGTCATGTCAGTCAGTCTCCATTCTTGAGAATTCATCAGCTTAAAAACACATTTTTGTATACTGTGTACAATTTTGAATGGCTGCTTAGACTTAATAAATATTTTGTTGTAGAGACTCCGTATTCCCCAAAGAGTGCTGGATTTTTGGTTTTAGCAGGCAATTGGTATGGACTCAAAGTGCAAACCCTGTCACTCGCAGACCTGGTTAAAATGTGGTGGCAGCTCAAATCTCAATTTAGTTCTTTTATCCTTAGCTGAGCTGCTTTGAGTTTGCCCTCGTGTATGTGGTATAGAGGTCAGATAGCGATATGGGCATAGTTTATACGCAAAATTTGGACTCCCTTTCTCTTTCATAGACCCTCACTTTGCAGGGGTTGTGTGTGCCCCAAACTCTCTGGCTCTTCAAGTCAGAAAGAGTCCAGCGTTTCCACTCACTGAAGCCTACCTTCTGGCTAAAAAATTAAAAATAAAGAAGGTGGGTGATGGAAAACCCATCTACCACTATTTCCTTCTTCCAGGCATCAGATCTCTCTAGAACGCATCTTGCTTTTGGTAGCTTTCCGATGCCATCAGCTGGTTGATTTTTCTATTTAGTTTGGAGCTTTATAGTTGCTCTCTGCAGGAATGACAGTATGATAGGAGTTTACTCAGCCGTTCTCAGGAGGGGACTCTGATTTCTTGTGTGATTATTGAATGCTGAACCTGAGGATATAACGGGGTATAAAATTATTACTAAGTCCTTTTTACAGATGAAAAAGCTGAGGCCTCATAGGTCCATCTGGCTGAAACGTCTTCTGCTGTCTTCTATCCCCATCCACTGGGGTGAGGTATAAATGAGATGGAGTCCACCATTGTGGAGACCGGGGAGGAGCTGGCAGGAAAGGAAGGCAGGTGAGATGTGAATGAGCAAGTCTAAATGTTCAAGTCCTTTGAGGCCAAAGAGTGATCAGGATGCACTAAAGCCTTGCACCTGGTTTGTTTCAAGGCTTCTCGAGACTTCTTTCTTTCCTTTTGATTCCTTTTGAGAATTCCCTTGCATCCCAGCTGTGCTGCACGGACATTTGCCTGGTGAAGAGGAGGACTTCAGCACAGCTTTTGACGACCCAGGACAGAGTCAGGGACCAAATTATGTCAGAGGACCTCAGAGATTATCTCTCCCTATCCCCTCACTTTACAGATGAGAAAACTGAGCCCCAGAAAGGTGAAATGATTTGTCCAAGATTGTCCAAATTTTGTTAACTTCTCATCCAATGCTCCTTCTGCCAAATAGGCATAAATCCTTTACATGCAATGTGGTCCTCTCTCTCTCTCGCCTGCCCACACACCACGCACTACCACCAAATATCAACGCCAGTGACCCCATTGTCCTCTGATGACACAGAGGGCAGTCTATCCATTGCTGCTGTCATTCTCAATCATTCTTTTTACTCCATGGTACGTGCAAAACACGACACATACCCATAGATACCCAAGCAAACCCCAGCTTACGCCATCCATCAATGAACTGATGATGGAGTCGATATGGTATGTTCTCTCTGGCCCTTCCACCCCTCACCCCTCAGTCCCCCACAGCACCTACCGTAGATGCGAAAGGCGTACTCAATCTTCAGGCTGGGGCAGGCCTGCTCACTGAACACAGACGCCATGCCCAGCACATCCTCAAAGGAGAACATGCCGTTGTGGGAGAATACTCTGCAGATACGGTCTCTGAAAGGGTTGACCTGTGGGCAAGGGGAGGAGGAGGGAGGAGGTCTATCAGGGTCAGGGTTGTGTCACCCTGGGCCTCTCTCATCTGTCACAAACACTATATCCTGGGTTTCAGATGAAAATGACAGCCACAACCTAAATATCGGAGTAGATAGTAGCTCACTGAGCCAGGCCCTGGGCATGATGGGGTGCCGGCGATGACTCTTACAGATGGATATGTGACTTCACAAGATTCCTGCAAGGATGCCACCATTGAAGATAATGCTTTTAACGCAAATGCAAATGAACAAAAGCATGTCAGAGCTGAAACCTCTTCTACTCTAAATATGAGTCCTGCTCTATGGGGTAGAAACCATGAGAATTCAGGCACACATAACAAGAAGACCCTGCATCAATTTTCTCTCCCATGCTCAGGCAGATACAAGGCAAGTCAACAGGCTCACTACCTAAGCGCAGAGCCAGCCAGGGAATGAGACACCAAGCTTCCTTCCCCTGCAGACCTCCCCTTGTCTTTGCTGGTAGTGATGGGAGGGAGGTGGTTGCCAGGACACCCATACACTCCTTAGATCCATGTCACATGACTCATCTACACACACACACACACACACACACACACACACACACACACACATACACACACACCCCTCATGTCTTATAGAGACTGAAAACAGGGCAGTTGATGTGGCAGCTGCTGGTGGCAAGAATAGTACCTACTACACAGCATGTGAACATGCTGGAAGGTGCAGAGGAAATATTGCCAAAGATACAGAGAAATGAGTATTCAAACAAGTTTTACACTGGGAAAGCTTTGCTAAATAGTTAAATAGAAGAATAGATCTTCTAATGTGATTTTCTTTGATTCTGTATGTGAAAAACCACATTTCTTTGAGCCACTGAAGGAAAAAGAGATATGGACTGAATAGTAAATGAATGTCTTCAACGAAAATGCCATGGCTGGGGAAAAGTGAAGGTACTCTTGGGCATGAGGGGTGGCTGCTCCCTGATGGAAAAGTATTCTGGGGTGACGCTGCAGGATGCCAACACATTCCAAAGACCTCCCTAAAGAATTTCCTGCAGGCTACTGTAGTCAGGAAGGTAAGCCCAGAAATACCCAAGTACAGCAGAATGCATTGAAAAGGTTCTCTTAAAAAAAAAGTTAAAATATAGTAAAACTTGGCCAGGTTTGGTGGCTCACACCTATAATCCCAGCACTTTGGGAAGCCGAGGCAGGTGGATCACCTGAGGTCAGGAGTTCAAGACCAGCCTGGCCAACATGGAGAAACCCCGTCTCTACTAAAAATACAAAAAAAATCAGCTGGGTGTGGTGGTACATGCCTGTAATCCCAACTACTCAGGAGGCTAAGGCAGGAGAATTGCTTAAACCCGGGTGGCAGAGGCTGCAGTGAGCTGAGATCACGCTATTGCAGTCCAGCCTGGGCAAAAAGAGAAAAACTCCATCTCAAAAAAAAAATATATATATATATATATGGTATATATATATATATGGTAAATATATATGTATAAGTTTTACTATATATACATATACACATATTTGTGTATACATATATAGTAATATGTATGTATGTATATATAGTAAAACTTATACAAATATATGTGTGTGTGTGTGTATATATATATATATATATATACCCAGCCCCCCGCCACACACACACAATGATTTGTAATCAGAAGGGAAGTGAGTATGGAAATCTGAACCGCATGGAAGTTTACTGGTTAGCTCTTGGAAGACTTCTTAAAAGAGCTATCAAACTTAAAGATCAGTTATATGTTTTCCTGGCACAAAAAGACAAGTGTTCTGAATTTGCTGACCTTTCTATGATGACAAGTAGCTGTTGGCAGTGTGCTACCTAGCAAATATCCACTGAAAAATAAACTCAATTTCCTTTGACTCTTCAAGGTAAAGGTGACTCATTTTAACACTATTGCTTTTCTAAAGAAACTCATGCTTTGAAGAGAATATTTTTAAAATGGGATTTTCGTGGTTAAAAACGTGTATCACCTATAGAAATGCTTATATTACATACCTGGAAATATAGAAACAGACTCTTCTGACCTGTTTGGAAATTCTCCAAATAAAGAATGTCTGTGGATTTTGAATCCATTGTTACAAATATAAAAATGTAACACTTTCCGCTTAGTGTAAGAGCCACTGACTGACATCAGGGGAGGCAGACAATTACCAGCTTAATTTCCATTGAAAGCCTTAATTGGTGAGTGGGGTTGAAACTGAGTGCTATGATTTAAGGCATGCAGCCCATGATACATTGCCTCTCTTTGGATCAGTTATGACAGCTATTAAAAAGAAACTGAACTAGAACCAGACCTCTGAATGGCTCTAGCTCAATCTAAAAGCACTTTGCTTTCCCTTACACATTGCTTTTCTTACAGTATTATTAGTTACATTCAAACAACAGTGCAAGGAAGAACTCTTACTATATCTATTAAAGGGAAAATTATTTGTTAAATATGTAGTTTTTAGGTTGTCCTTAAAATTTTTTTATTTTGATATTATATCAGATCAATATTGTAGTAAATATATACAGTTTATACATGAATATATACAATGAGTGGATGTTTCTCATTTTTTCACGTTATTGCTGGGGATGCGTGATTAAAAATGCTGGAGATCTGTGATCTAGGCTGACTGTTCATCTCACGGATGTGGAAATGAGACCTGGGGAAGGGAAGAGACTCAGCCAGCAAGTGGCAGAGCTGGCCTGAGACCAGAACTCCCTGCTCTCCACTAAGGTGCCTCGTGCCAAACAAACATCAAAGACCAAGCACAGTGGCTCACACTTGTAATCCCAGCACTTTGGGAGGTCAAGACCGATGAATCACCTGAGTTCAGGAGTTCGAGACCAGCCTGGCTAACATCACAAAACCCCATCACTACTAAAAATACAAAAATTAGCTGGGTGTGGTGGCATGTGCCTGCAGTCCTAGCTACTTGGGAGCCTGAGGCAGGGGCATGGCTTGAACCCAGGAGGCAGAGGTTGCAGTGAACTGAGATCATACCATTGCACTCTAGCCTGTGTGACAGAGCAAGTCTCTGTCTCTGTTTCTCTCTCTCTCCCTTTGCCATAAAGTGCAAAAACAGAATCTAGACTGAAGTTAAAGACATGGCTGATGGCCTAAGAGAACTCAGTGGCCGGCTAGAAATGACTCTATGACTCTCACTATGAAAGTGAGAGGCATAGGAGGAGGCCATGGGACCAAAGGCAACAGGAGGGAGAAGGCCAGAGGAGAAGATGGAGCTGACACGGAGCCATCGGTCTTATAAAGCAGGGAGGAATCTGAGTGTGAAGCAGGGGACACTGTCCCTGAGAGGATGGCAGGGCAGCTGTCAGGCCGCAGGGCTAGGACCAAGCTCACCAGAGCTGTGTTTGGGTCCTAGGGGTCCAGGAGTGGCGTCCGTGAGGCCTGGCAGGCACCTGCCAGGAGAGTGTCCCAGGACTGTCTCTGTTCCAACAAGGTGCAGCTTCCCTCTCCCCCAGGGTCCCTGTCTCAAGCCCCCCTGCGACAGAACAGCTCCAGTCAAAGGGGCACTGATAGTGCTGCGGGAGAGTTTCTAAGGTCCCTGGTGGTGCAGCCTGGTGCCCTTCCCTGCTCTCCATCCTGAGCTAAGGCCAGCTCAGCTGATGTCCTCAGGTCTGGTTCAGCCTAGCCCCAGGCAGACAGAACAGCCAAGAAGGGGAAGCTGAAAGAGCAGGCCTCATTAGTGATCACAGGTCCAGTTTACTGGATTCCAGATTTTTGATGCTGTACCTTTAAAAATCTGAAAGCGGAACCAATAAATTTGGGGACCTGCCCAGAGAGTTATAGTCTGTATTAAATTTCACACTCATTTAGAAGTCTTCAATCCCCCCAAGGAGGAAGGAAGTGACAGTTGACAAAGCAATGCTTCCATTTCAAGAATAACACATACCCTAGTTTGAGGGCGTTTTGAACCAAGGGAAGATAAACATGTCACCATAGCAGGTGACATTTACACAGGTAACTCAGTACTATGATCTCCATCTGAGCGTGATGAAACTAAAGAAGATGAAAATAAACCCCAAATGCTGGGAGTTTTTTTGGAAATAGAAACTAGAGTTTATCAACAATCAAAAGATTGCAATCCCTGCCAAAAAACTAAAAGTTTTCTTTATTTTTTTAAATAATTTTTTAAATTTATTTTACTTTAGGTTCTGGGGTACATGTGGAGGTCATACCTGGATGTTGCATAGGTGCATACATAACCAGGTGGTTTGCTGCCTCTATTCCCCCTTCATCTGTATCTGACATTTCTTCCCATATTATCCCTCCCCACCCTTCCCACCCCATTGTCCCTCCCCTAGCCCTCCCCCACTACCCTCATTGTGTGATGCTTCTCTCCCTGAGTCCACGTGTTCTCATTGTGCAGCACCCGCCTGAGTGAGAACATGCGGTGTTTGGTTTTCTATTCTTGTGTCAGTCTGCTGAGAATGATGGTTTCCAGATTCATCCAAGTCCCTACAAAGGACAAGAACTCATCGTTTTTTATGGCTGCATAGTATTCCATGGTGTATATGTGCCACATTTTCTTTGTCCAGTCTATCATTGATGGGCATTTGGGTTGGTTCCAGGTCTTTGCTATTGTACATAGGGCTGCAATGAACATATGTATGCATATGTCTTTAAAACAGAATGATTTATAGTCCTTTGGGTATATACCCATAATGGGATTACTGGGTCAAATGCAATTTCTATTTCTAGATCCTTGAGAAATCGCCACACTGCCTTCCACAATGGTTGAACTAATTTACACTCCCTCCAAAAGTGTAAGAGTGTTCCTGTTTCTCCACATCCTCTCCAGCATCTGTTGTCTCCAGATTTTTTAATGATCACCATTCTAACTGGCGTGAGATGATACCTCAGTGTGGTTGTGATTTGCATTTCTCTACTGACCAGTGATGATGAACATTTTTTCATATGTTTGTTGGCCTCACGTATGTCTTCTTTTGAAAAGTATCTGTTCATATCTTTTGCCCACTTTTGAATGGGTTTGTTTGTTTTTTTTCTTGTAAATCTGTTTTAGTTTTTTGTAGATTCTGGATATTAGCCCTTTGTCAGATGGGTAGATTGCAAAAAT